GTGCACCTCTGTCAGTTCATGCTGATTCTTAATTTCTACTGACTGAGTCTCCTCCTCATCAATTTCAGGCCAAAAAAGAAAATCTCCAAAATCTCCATCAAAACCAACTCGTCCTGATTCTCTCTGTGCTGTGAGGATGTTCCTGTTTGTCCCCTGAGTGTGCAGCTTGGATTTACCTGCAGCCGTTTGGACCCTGTGTCAGCCACGATGTGTGACGACCTCTGTCTGGAAGGCCTGTCCTGGCTCTGAACAGGCTGTTCCTCTGTTCATGGACAGTTCTGGTTTGACTGTAAAACGGGAAACAAAGCTCATATGTTGGTACAAAGTTTAAAACAAACAATTCACCCTCACTGCCACGTTTCAACATCTGCAGTGTTGCTCTCCTGACGTCTCCCAGGTGTGCGGCATCAGAGGTTAATAGCCAGTCAGACCCAAAGCCGTGTGACGTCAGCGCTGGCCCTCCAAACGCGCTCTACGCCCTCATTTACCAAAGGTCAGCAGCAGGTTTTCAATGTAAGGATGTTTAATGCTGACTCAGTGGCATCTGACAACTGGGAGGCTGGAGCCACTTCAGCTGACACTGGGCCAGAGGTGGAGTACACCTGGGCAGGTTGCCAGGCCTCGATGCATTACCATAATTTTTAAAATTTGTTCTTTACAAATTCTTGAATAAATGTTAAACTTAGAAAACGACCAGAAAAACCAACAAAGGAGACCGACAGCAAAGACAGTGAAGATACATGCAACACATCAGCAGGGAGATGTAAAGGTGAGCGTGTGAGTCGGCGTCTCAGCCTCAGGTAGCACCAGAGTTTAACACCTGTCTCACAACCTGTCGGCGTCAGACCTGAGGACACGCCACGGACCACAGAGGTGTGCAGCTGCTCTAGATGCACACAAAGAGCATCCACGCAGTCGCTCAGCACTCACACACACTGCAAAATTACAAAATCTCACACACATCTGCACACGCACTCAAACAAACCATGTCGGCCTCTCACTCTCTGACACACACACACACACACAACTCAGATCAAAGCGGAGCCTTCAGACTGTCAGTGCAGCGCTGCCTCAGGCTGACACTCAGCCACAGTTCATCCAGTGTTTACATTACAGCACTTTCTACTCTCTGCGCGCGCGCACACACACACACACACACACACACATACAGGCTGATCTGCAGCGTGATAAGATGCTCAATGTCCTCATACACCTGAATCCTGCTGTGAAGAAAGTGCAGCTCATCTGGAGGACGGCTGGCCGTGTGAGGAGCAAGAAGGGGGCTGCTCGTGATATGATTTGACTTACTGAGCTAAAAGTGCCATTGTGTGAAGAGAAGAAGAAACAGTGAAGTCCTGGACCGCTAACAGAGGCCTATGAGCAGTCAGGATTTGGGAGGTTAAAGGCCAGAGGTCACAAGGTGCAGAGAGGAGATGAACGAGGATAAAGACGACATGCACACCAGGTCCAGTGTCATTTGGATTTCATTTAGTCACACAACGCTGGTTTGAGGAGTTCGTTTTCAGTGGCTCCGTCCTTGTTGTATGAGTCCAAACCAGTTTAGACAAAGATCTGCTGTGATCAAAAAGCAAATTTAAGAAATGCAGTTTTTTCAAATGTGCCTTTAGCTGCATGTCTGTGTGTGTGTGTGTGTGTGTGTGTGTGTGTGTGTGTGTGTGTCCAGCAGCGTGCTCCAACTCGCCTCCCTCAGTCTGTGCTGCAGCCTACTCTCTCTCTGTCTCCCCGTTACAATGAACAACAGGACCCGACTGGAGAAGAGTGACATGGGACATGACCCAGCCAGAGCAAACAGGTTCTTAGGACACTTGGACCTTCATTAGCTCCTCTAGTCCATAGAACTAATTCTACCATCAACCCTAAAACCACATCTTAAATGTTCAAACACACAGTTTGTGCATGAAATTTTACTATATCAAAAGAAAATTTAAAAACTGGAACAGATGTCTTCAGAAATGAAACTGTGGTACATTAGTTGTCACTGTGACAAACGTCTGTTCTCAGATCTGGAGAGTGGACAGTTGGATTCAGCCGGGCTTAACCCATCAGCGCTTCAGGCTGCAGTGCACACACACACACACACACACACACACACTCCAACATTCCAAAAACAGTAACATTTCACAAAATAATTTGCACTATATTTAGAATAACTTGTCTTATCTTGATCAGTGAATGTCTGCACCACAAACGTCCGTTCATTTCAGTGGTTTCTCAGTGAGAGGGACTGTTTCAATTCCCAGATGTTTCTGTTTGGAAGTAAACTGATAATTTATTTTGGTTCAGGACCGTCTCCAGTGGGTGTGAGGTCGAAACCAGAGATGTGATCTGGAGAATCAACGGCTGTAGACGGAGCGGCCTGGGGCACCAGGAAGAAGATCTCCATTACAGAAGCTTTTAAAAGCACAGGATTAGGATTAGTGGAATAGCCCTTTAGGTGTCTGGAGCAGAGCTGCATGGTGTGATGGGACAACAGGACAGGAAATGCACCTCAGCAAGTGTGTGTTCAGAGGATGGAACTAGGATTCAGTGCAGCTCCTGCAGTAGCAGTAACACAGTAGACTCCTGTCCTTTTTTAACCCCTTAAACTACCAACAGTGAAGACCCGACTTTACTGCAGACAGTTTTCCAAAGCACAATGTTGATTTTAGGTTGATTTACAAACTTGTTTTCTATTTATTTTAGCTCAGTTTTAATTAAACCTGCAGACATTCTGCTCTTCCTGTCCGCAAATTTTCACACTGCTGTTGCTAATGACAGGCAGCAGCACCTGCACACAAGCATGAAGGAGGAAGGGACAGAGGAGGAAGGAGGGTGAAGAGGGGATCCTGGCAGCCCGGAGAATGGAGGAGGGCGAGTCTGACCACACCAGGACAGGGGGATGGGGAAGGCAGGTGGGAGGAGGAGAGTTAAGGTGAGAGGGTGAACGAAGTAGAGCTGCTGGTTTTAGCAGCATCAGTGAATCGAAGTGATTTGAATCAAACCTGCATCATTTACTCTGCTGCTTTCCCCCAGTGATTAGTTGGATCAGTTATTGTTCATTTCCTTTGGATAGTTCTTGTTGGTTCCTCTGATCCGACCCAAAAGGCAGGAACATCAGATGTTCATGTCAGGATGTGTTGAAGACAAAGGCTGTGATTCGTTTGGATCCTGTTTTCTACACACAGTTATTATTATTATTGATATTCTACTGTTTTAGACTGAGCTAAATTACAGGAAATTAAATGAACAACAAAATATTATCTATGCATTCAAATAATGGCATTGTTAAAACGGGCAATTAACTTCAGGTGGCAATAATAATAATAATAATAATTAAAACCATTCACATTTTGTTTCCAAACGAATCGAGTCTCTTCTTCAAAGGAGTAACAGCTGATGTGAGAGAACGTTTCTATGATTCATTTTAATGTGAAGTGTGTATTAATTTAAGTTCAAACGTAAAGAAACCAAACGTCCTGTAATTTAATGATTTTAGCTGTTTATTTATTTCACAGTGCTCCCACGTCTGAAATGCAGCGGGCTGATGTTGGACCTCTGACACCTCCAGCGCTTCGTAGAAAAGCTCAGGCCAAATGTGATCGATTCCTAAAATGCCATCACAAAATCTTTGACGGGATTTCAGGCGTTTTTCATGACGACTCCAGTTTGTCTCCACCCAGAAAGATCCTGCCGACTGAAGGAGTGAAACCCACCGGCGTGACCGTGTTTCCATCAGTGTGCTCGGTCGGAGCCCTGACACCTTCGGATGCTCACAGTCACAATCAACCTGCAAACCGATCAACAGTTTTATTTGTGAGCGGATGAACAATTTATTAAACCCAGAACTCAGCACCAGCACCTCAATCACAACCGTGGTCCTATGTTTCTGAAATGACGCATCTAATCGTCTTCACCACGTCACTGTCGCCAAATTGCACCTGGATTTGAATTTTTAGTCAGAAAGTAAAATAATGTTCTCATAGACAGTCAGTTTAAATCGAGGCCTCTCGGCAGAAGTCTGTGCTTCTCATCTGAATGAGGCCTATTCAAGGTGAAAGTTACAACAGAACACAAGCCACCGCGCGTAAAACCCTGAAAATGACGTTTCAAAAGAAATTACTTTTAAACAAATGGCCAGAACTATTTTACACTGTTTGTACATAATGTGATTTTTACTTTTGTCATGTCAGTTGCTCATTCTTTTGAACCATTTCCAACACGCTTCGTGTCGCCAATAGTACACAACCTGACCAAGACAACAAACCTGCGCCTTCTGCTCTTCTCTTTCAATCTGACATTTCATAAAAAGGTTTCGTTAAATTATTCTGCACTTGTATAACAATGCTGGCTATAATAAGTGCAGAATAATTAAACCTGTAAAGTAAATAAAAAGTAAAAGTGAATTTCTGAAGTCTCTGTGCGCTGCTGCTGCAGCTGCATGGCTTCTTGTGGCACCCGGGACCGAGGGGGGCCCTACTGCCGGAACCTCCCGTAGTTTGGTCCACGCTGCAGACCGCGGTGAACTGAGCCACCGGCTAAGCTCCATCCCAAAATACTGAACTCGCTCTCAAACCTGCGCCAGATTTTGAATGACACAGCTGATTGGCTACCTGAGAGTCTCTTTAACATACTCAGACTAACGTCATCCTGTGAAGGTGCAGCCTTTTCTATAAAACCCCCGCAGCCCGCTCATTGTGGAGGAACAGTCACCGGTTCGGCGGAGCAGTCGAGAAAGAAAAACACTAAACTGATTTCTGTCACCGCTCCAGCGAGGCTGGTTTGAGGTGAGTGCTCGGTTTCTTTGAGGAGAGAAATGTCAACTTATCATAGCACACTCAGGAAATGGAGAATAATTAATAGAACTTTTCGCGTTTCTATTGTTCATTTCCAAGTCGCTTCTTCACATCTCACGTTACTTTAGACGCCTGTTAATCGACTCACTGTATTTACATCACAGTTTCTGCTGTGTTTTTTAAAAAACCTGCCGTTTCTAGATATTGTAAACCTCGGACCTCCCGGGGCTTGGCGGTGTCCCCTGAACTACAGGCGCATGAAAATTTGTAAAACTATTTGGAATAGTTGACAGCTAGTGCTCCTTTTTAAGGAGCAGCGATATGAAGGGGACTTTCTTCACAATCAGAGAAGCACGTAGTTCATCCAGAGTCAAATATGAGTCTGTGCAGGCGCATCCATGTCGGTCTGACGACTAGTTTGGTTTGGAGGTGCGTCTCTCTCTTTTGGCCTGTGCTTGTTTTAATCAAGAACTACAAACATGACGATTGGGGACGAGAATAGGGGAAAGGAGGAAATAACACAATACAACCATTCCAGAAGTGACCAAATATCAACGCCAGTGCATCATCACTGCTTTCAGGCCGCGGCCCAACCTGGGCGATAACTGTGAGTCCAACTGTAATAGCAGCTTATAACGGCTCCATTGGCTGTCTCCAGAGATGAGTCCAGAAAGAGTTCAGTCGCTTTTTGTTTCTGGTGCAGCGCAGGGTAAACGCACCCACACTGAACTAACACGCCTTTACTTTTTATTTTGACAGTTTGCAAGGGGAAAAAAAGAAAAAGACGACGCAGAAGGTTTACGCACCGACGCCGGACAAAGTTTCACACAGGACAGAAGCGCCTTTACGCACGGAAACAGGTTGATGCTGGGAAGCGGACCGGCTCGGAGGAAATGATCGCTTTAGCACAGTTTGGGGTGCTGTCTGCCCTGGCCGCGGCGCTCACCTCGGTACTGTCCGCGATCTTGCTGCTGGCGCTGACCCGACAGCTGTGGAGCCTCCGCTGGAGTCTGACCCGGGACAAAGAGAGCAGCCTGCCGCTGCCGAAGGGCTCCATGGGGTGGCCGCTGGTCGGAGAGACTTTCCACTGGTTGTTCCAGGTGAGAGAGGAAAAGGTGACACGTCCGAGCTGCTGTAGATATTTAACTTAACTTTATTTTTTACAAGTGTTAACAAAGCCGGACTGTTTAAGTGTGTGTGTAATACTTTATAAAGCTGATGTCTAACGGGGTTTCTCCTCCATAATGCCTCATTTCATCGCTATAAAGTGGGACCAGAAGACTGCAGGATGTTTTGATAATCAAATTACTGATCGTGTATTTGGAAGGGCGCGGAAAACTCTGAAACCGTCCGTGGATTGTGCAGGCTGAGTTCTGTTAATGCGACGTGTGCGGACCTGATGTTCAGTGCGTAATTCCTTCTTATGGAGTAGAAACATACCTTTTCTGTTCAGTTGTTCTATGCTGAATGCACTTTCTCATCTCTCCAACGTTCCCCCTGCTCCACACTGCGCGTCAGTCAGTGCGCCTCGTTACAGCTGAAGTGATGTGTGTGGCCGGAGTTCTGTTTTCTCTTGTCTCTGATTTTTCACCTACTTTCTAATTCACCCCCTCGATACATAAAGGTTCAGCTGGGTAGTATCTTTCTAAATGCATTTGTACATCAAGCGGCCAAAACTACGTAGACAACATTACATCTATATCTACTGTGTGTGCGCAAGGTCCAGGCAGGAAGAACAAACAGCACGAGGGCGCAATATACACACAGCAGGAGGCTAATGATGGAATAGGGGACAGTTAAGCAGTGGGTGTGGGGAGAAGGGCGGAGGTTCGGCAGCACCAGGACGGGATGCAGATACTAGAAGGAATGAACGAACGAACTGTGACAGTTTCCAGCCTTTTACGAAATCCAGTCATAACCAGCACAGAAACACACTGGACGAAAACAGGTGGTGGATGTGTGGACGTTTCAACGTTCGTCACCAAGACAAACCTGTAACCCAGATTTCTTCTTCACACCCTAGGGTTCCAACTTTCACATCTCACGCCGAGAACGTCATGGCAACGTGTTTAAGACCCACCTCCTTGGGAAGCCCGTCATCCGGGTGACAGGAGCTGAAAACATCCGCAAGATTCTGCTGGGGGAGCACAGCCTGGTGTGCACCCAGTGGCCCCAGAGCACACGCATCATCCTGGGGCCCAACACCCTGGTCAACTCCATCGGAGACCTGCACAAGAAGAAAAGAAAAGTAAGAAGTCACACAGTGATGATACGACCAGGGTTCAGTTGTCAGCGTCGGTCAGTAGGTAAAGCAAGACGGAGGCGCCGACAGGGTTTCTGTAAATGTTTGTTTCTGCTTTCCACGCAGGGAGGACTTAGTTCTGTGCCTCATTTATTTTAGTTCACCTTCATTTTTTGAAATTAGCCAGTTTTTTTGCGCATATTTTAAATTTGTGCTTAAAAAACCTAGATAAATGAAGCAACTGTGGGCTGTTTGGTCCCAATACCAGCGATATAGGTACTGTGATACTTAGCCATTCACCAAACAAACCTGACTTAGAACTAGAAATAAAGAACTACAAACTTTAAAGTATAGCTAAATAAGGAGACTAGTTATTATGAAAAGATTTTTTCCCCAATGCTTGGAGTGGGAAGACCCAAACCCAGTAATATCTCCCATCTAATCCAAAACTATCCAGCACTTACATTCAGTGTCCCGTCCTCTACAGCCTGTCCTGTTTTATCTCCTATATTTTCTACGTCAGTCCTTCACCTCTATCCTGTCTTTAACCTTAACCCACCCCATCCTCTTGTATAGTAAGTATTTACTGAAAGATGTTGGCTGTTGTGTACTTGGTAACATTTTATGATCCTCTTTCTTTGTGTCCTTAATTCTTTCAAGATCCTGGCTAAAGTGTTTAGCCGGGGGGCTCTGGAGTGCTACCTTCCCCGGCTGCAGGACGTTGTCAAGTCTGAAATTGCCAAGTGGTGCTCGGAGCCAGGCGCCATCGACGTTTACAGTGCTACCAAGTCCCTAACGTTTCGCATTGCCATCAGGGTCCTGCTGGGTCTGCAGCTGGACGAGGAGCGTTTACTTCACCTGGCTCAGGCCTTCGAGCAGCTGATGAACAACCTCTTCTCGCTCCCCATAGATATTCCACTCAGTGGACTTCGCAAGGTGAGAAACCATGAGTATGATGTACAGTAGGATGGAAATCAGAGTGAACCTGCTGAAACTCAAGTTTATTTGTGTTTAGACACTTCATTCTGCTTAATTATTCTGTGTTCATGGCGGCATTTTATTTAATAAATGCCTTTACTCTGTCCAGGGAATAAAAGCTAGAAAAGCCTTGCACGCCAGCATGGAGAAATTAATTGAGGAAAAGCTGGAGCGGCAGCAGGTGGAGGAGGGCTATCACGATGCCTTTGACTACATTCTGTCCAGTGCCAAGGAGCACGGCCAGCAGCTCAGCATCCAGGAGCTCAAGGTACTGGAGTATTCAGACACAGCCATGCAAGGCTTCACTTAATCTTTTTATGAACATTTCAGTTAAACTGATTCAAATCAGCAGATCAATCCCATCAGTCCACCCATCTGCCACTTCCCTTTTTGCAGGAAACAGCAGTAGAGCTGATCTTCGCCGCTCACTCCACCACTGCCAGCGCTTCCACATCACTGGTTCTGCAGCTTCTTTGCCATCCGGCGGTGGTGGAAAGGGCCAGAGTGGAGCTGGAGGCAGAGGGCATCGGCTACAAATCCCACAGCAGTCTCAGCCCATCTGGTGTCCCCATGGAGAAGGAGGAGGACACAGAGACTACCTGCCTGTTGAATGGAGGGTGTCACAACCCCACCGACGAGGATGGGTTTCCACGGTCCCAGTCTCATGTACCGTACCTGAGCCTGGACAAGCTGACCCAGCTCTGCTACATCGACCGTGTGATCAAAGAGGTGCTCCGTTTCCTGCCGCCGGTCTCCGGTGGCTACCGGACAGCCCTGCAGACATTCGAATTAGATGTAAGTTCAAGTCACAGGTAGGAGCATACTTCTCATATGTAGGCCCCCGAGTTGGATGGGTTGTCTTTTTCCTGGGATAAATGAGCAGAGGACCCAGTACATTTCCACCAGCTACCCTCTAGAGCCATTTGGCATCAGGGAACAGGTACAACAGAACTCACACCAACAGGTAATAATTCAAGGCATTTGCTCTTTTAAATACTGTACAGAACAGCTTTTTTCCTGAAAAAAAAGATAAAACCCCCCACAGCCAAATGCAACAAGTCCCAACTCCTCTTCCTGGGGATGTCAGAAGGCATTGTAGGAAATGACAAAGTGCACAAACTGAAGTGGACGTAGATGATGTGAATCCCCTGAAACCAAATCCTGACAGAAGACACATGATGTTGGTAATATAAAATAGAACAGGATAATGTATTCTTTCCCCACTTTGCCCAGTCCTACCAGTCAGTCATTTAATAGGAGAGCTGCAGGAAAACCTCTACTGCCCGGAGGTGGTTCACATTTTGCTGTCCGCAGCCTGATGATTATGAATTAAGGAGTTTGAGTTTAAAGCTGGTTCATTCTCAGCTTCACAGATTGGTGAGATCTTCAGTTAACTCATGCTAGAAGCCAAGTAAATCTATAGTTAATTAAATTCTATTTAGGCCCCTGAATTGTGTTGCATGCCTCATTGCGCTTTGATGGACAAAGACTTTCACATAGGGCTGGGTGGCCCTTTAGGGAAAAACCGCCCTGACATGGCCTCATCCCGTGTCCTTCAACGCCCCTTCCCTGCCCCCCGTGTGCCCCCAGCTTGCCGTGTTTACTCTGAAAAGACAACTGAAGTTTAGAGACTGACAAGGAATTCCCAGAATACTATTGTAGTGCACATGGCTCCACCTCTCCCTTAGGGAGCAAGCCCGTATGGCTGAGAAGGGACTGCAGAACTGAAAATGTCATTATGCATGTTCATTGAAGTGAATCTTCCTAAAACCTCAACAAGGAAATCCCAGCTCTGCAGAAACCACTGGGATAAAAACATCTGGATTCATGAGAGGGAGCAAAGTTGAAAGCCAAGTAATAAAACGATCGAACTTGCGCAGCAACATATCACTTAAACCAGATTTTCACGTCACTCCTGCTCTTTTGAATGTTCCTAGAATTTCTAAATCCTGAATTGCACACATTTTTATAATTTCATTATTTCCTGTCTTATTCATTTATGTCCCAGAGATGAGAAAAGGTTATGGAATCCTAAAGAGGTTGAATACACAGATAATTGTACCAGACTATTTGTTGGTGCCCTTTGTCTCTTTATATGTATTGATTTCCACCCTCATTTCACAGGGCTACCAGATCCCCAAAGGCTGGAGTGTAATGTACAGCATCCGGGACACCCATGAGACTGCAGCAGTCTTCAAGAGTCCAGAGCTGTTTGACCCGGACCGCTTTGGCCCGGAGCGGGATGAGAGCCACTCAGCTCGGTTCAGCTACGTGCCGTTTGGTGGCGGCGTGCGCAGTTGTGTGGGGAAAGAACTGGCACAGATCATCCTGAAGACTCTCGCTGTGGAGCTGATTGGGACCTGCAAATGGACTCTGGCCACAGAGAACTTTCCCAAGATGCAGACAGTGCCGATAGTGCATCCGGTCAACGGGCTGCATGTGCATTTCACCTACAGACACCCCTTTTAGATACAAATACAGACTGACAGACATAAAGAAAACTTACCAAGGAGGCAGATTAACCCTCAGTCAGCTTCTGGAAAAACTCTAGATACAAGCACTGTGCTGGTCCTGATGGTGCAGTTCAGTCCCCCTCTCATTTCCATAGACATGAAGACATGGTTTACATCGTTAATCCGGAGCACGTCGCCTCTTCAGTGTTCTGGTCCGAACCTAAAACCACTTTCTCTTGTAGCCAAGTCCATTTCTAACCATCTTGTATGCTGACCTTGTTGTTTAACTAGTGCTCACTCCTTTACATGCATTTTAAAGTTAGTAATGAATCGAGTATACATCGTGAGAAAAGCCAAGTCTGCAGCTCATTTTCAAGCTGAAGATCTGGGTTTGCTCTGCTGAATGGACTGAATGTAAACTTCAACAAGTTTCAAATCAGATCTTAGTGTCAGTGGATTAGGGAGAATCAACCTACTCACATTCAGCTACATGGTACTGGGCTGCCTTTCTATAGTCTGAGCATGGATCAGTGAATGAGCTCATGTCTGACCTCTGACCTGCATACAGTAAGTGCCTAGTGCACAGACCTCAGGTGCAGTTTACTTACCTAAAACATTCAAACCATTTAGTTGATACACTTGATAAAATCCACTCAGCTTTGGTGCTTTTATTCTTGTACCTGTGTCTCAGCAGGTTTTATATCAGTGTGTAAGGACATATGCATTGCTCTGCATGTTCACGCTGCTGTTGGAGGAAGTCACGAGCATCCATTTCACTTCACTTCACTTGCATGTGGAAAAATTTGAACACTCACAGACAGCCTTCTGGAAAACGGCAGCTTATAAAAATCTTCCCAGTCCAGAGGCAGAGATGCAGGGAACTCACCTCCAGTCATATGATCTACAGACCTGGGTTGGAGACTTAAACCAGTCCTGCGCTTGTGGGTTCTTCAGTGGTTTGGGTTTCCAGCTCTCGGCCTGGCTTTGCCTCTCTGGACTGCCACACGGTGCCTGCCTGTAGATCCACAAAAGGAAATGCAGTGACACCCATGCTGGAGTGAGGAGAGACTGGACATCTCAGTCTCTCCACCACAAAAACTCATACTGATGGACCAGTACTTGATTTTGACACACACCCCACAACCAGGACCCACCCAAACACTGAGGTCAAAATACATTCAAAGTATTCTTGTTCTATATGAATGTGCTATACACCTCTAACATTGCTATTATGTATGAAATGAAGTAGCATTATGAATAAGCTGTTAAGAAGCAGATGTATCATTTCTGTACTTTTATGCCAACTGTAACAATATCTGCTGTAATTATGAACAGAGACACTAACCTGTCCATAAACTCTCGTCTCACTCCTATAAGATAAGAGGATCAGAGCAGCATATGCTGAGAGTAAACAGATTAATGTTATTACTGGTGTAGTTCTAGGTCTGTTTGTGTATTTGTGTTGAAGCCTGTGGAATCTGTTCAGATGGCTTCGTAGAAGGAGATTGCACTTTCTCTGCATTAAGGAGTCTGTATATATCTGTGATGTTTATGCATTCCCTGAGTGTATCGGATGTAGCTACTGTACAGCTGATGTAAAGAGTAAGTTAGAAGACGCTAAAACAAAAGCTGGAGTTTCCTGCATTTGTCATGTCTTCAGTGTTTTTCCTAATTAAAAAACCTGCTAACATTTCTGGGGTTGTACAGTATGTTAAGAACACATCATATCATTTGGGTAATGTATTCTGTGTGCATATTTTAAACAGTTCATAGAGAAACACAAGCTGCTGACATGGTGTTTGTATTTTCCCATTGTGTTCACAGCTGCTTTGCACTGAGATTAACCAGCTGTGCAGAGGTGAGAAGGTAAGTCTGAATGTCTCTTGTGCTCTTTATGTGCTGTCATGGAATTCCTTCCAGGAGAGACTGCACTGCTGTCCTCATATTTAAAACCGCACCGTATCTCTATAATTTTAGCTTGCCTTCGGCTCTGGATGTTTGGAATAGCTATGAAACAGTGACATGGTCTCACAACATGTTGTTTGAACCACTGCTTTTCTGATGTAGGCCATCACCTCACATCTGGAGTCACCCAACACGTCGCTCACATCCCCTTCATGGACTCAGCTCTGCTTTTCACTTCAAAAACTCTGTTAACCTTTTAACAAACTACAAGACGTGAACGCTGTCCCCTGCATCTGTCAGTGGATCTGCACGTTCCTGTAGAACAGGCAACACAGGGTCAAGGTCAGTGACATCTCAACCCGCCGCCTTGACCCAGAGCACTGGAGCCCCTGAGGGCTGCATGCTCACCACCTCACCTGTTCACCTCACACCGCAGCTAAATAAGCAGAGGACGCAACCATCGAACCGATATCTCCTTTACCTTTGATACCAGAACCACCACTATGGAGAAGAAGCCGAAGAGGCGTTAATCAGAGACAGCAAATCCAAATGCTGGGAGTATCAGGGTTTAAACCAGTAACAGTCCCCATTGATATTTCATTACAGACAAAATGGACAGTGAGGTCACTGCTGAAGTCGCCACTGAGGTCACCAGGCATGTTCACCCTCTACCTGACCGCCCTCATTGACAGGCAGAGAACAGTGTGCAGCTATGCGGCAGAAAATGAGTGGGACACAAAGAGCGCGGCCTAATTCTGCTCCCTGCACGACCCCGTAGCTCAGCCAAGGCTGTTATCTGATGAACGCTCAGTCGCTGTGAACTTGGCAACACTTTGAACCAGAGTTCACTCCAGTGCCACTGGCTGCACAGGTCAGCGGCCGGTCAGCTGCAGCGAGGGCGCATGGGAACCAGAGAGGGGACGCAAAGTGACACGAGACAACACAAGACAGTGCAGCAAAATCGTCACTGCTGTGCATTATACAACTACCACAACTATGAAACAATGCCTACCAGACTCATTAGCTCCCACTACAGACTGGCTTGGTTTTTTTTCTTGTCCTCTGATGAACAGCATTTCACACTGCGATGAAAGGAGGATATTTTAAGAGACTGCACAGTGTGATGAAACTGTCTACATCATGTCATGGTGGTGAATCGGATCATAAAACACCTGATCATTTCACTGACGTGCCCCTGGAGTCTTCTCTATCTCCTTATTCCCATTTGCTGACTGGGACCTTCAGGTTCAAGCCGATGCCCAACACATCTGAAGTTAAAGTTGCAGGAACACTGAACAACAATGTCAGGTTTTTGTTGCATAAGTTCTTACGATTGCTCTCCTCACCTGTAGTTAAAAGTGTCACATTAATGTAGAGCCATCACCCTCTGACCGAAGGCGGGTCGGGGTCAGCCTGAGGTCACTAACAAAGAGCGGGGTCCTGAGATGACAGCGACAAGGCTGGTCAGAGGGTGTCCTTTTATCTCCCTGTTCAAAAACATGCTTTTACTCTGTGACTGTGTGAAGACAGATTTCATTTGCATGACAAAATCAGATCAAACTGGATGAAGAATGAAGATCAACATCTGCTGCAGTTTTCTTTGAATCTTTATTTGTTCAGTGTAACTTTGCCTTTGCTCAGATGAGGGTTTTGTATGACTGCTCGGCACAGAGCGAGGAGAGAAAACTATTTTCAAAAAGGACTGATTCGTGCTGTTCATCTGCTACATCTCTTTATCCGTCCCCTGAAATGTATTTTCACTTTTCCTCTGAGCTCTAAAAATGTTCCCTCTGCAGAGGTTCGAACTCCTCCTCCTCCTCCCATTTGTGTTTTCTGTTTCAACAGCAGTTCTTGGGCACGATAAAGGGCACAGATCTGTGAAATGAGGAAGATGATGATGACTTGGATATATCTCCTCATCCAGCCAACCGGTGTGTGCGAGGGCAGATACCTATTTCACCTCCACTCATGTTTTTCAAAGTTTATTTTCATCACTGCTGCTTCACAATAAAAGCCACAGTGCTGCAGTCTTTGTGGGTTTTTTGTAATTGAAAGTTTACGTTGCCATATACTGTATGTGCCGAGTCAGTTCAGTGACCTTCGGGCCCCATTGTGCGACTTCAGGAATAACAATGGACAGAGGTTCGGTTCTGGCAGCCGTGGAGATTCTGAGCCAGCAGAGAAACTCTGCCTGATGTGTTGAGTGACTGTAAGATCAGAATAGTCCATCCAATGTAAACCAGATTTAAATGATCCCAGCACTTTCAATATGTTTGTGTAGAAGAATCTCAGGTTCACCGTCTAAAAACACTGTACATGCATTAGTTTGCAGGATCCCATTAATAATGTTGATAATAATAAATATTAATGAGATAACAGTGAGCGTGTGTGTCTAGAGCAGGGATTTTTCAGTTTACCATATGCTGCAGCTCCTCGCTCCTCACCTGTACTTGACCTCCTGATGAATCTCCTGACCTCTCTGGACTCGTGCTGCCTGGGTTCTGGTTGAGAACAAAAAAAAAAAATCCACATCAATAATGATTTCTCTAAATGGCTGTTTCATGTCACTGGGAGAGCACTTAATTATTATAATGAGGTAAAAGAGCGGTCTTTGGAAAAAAATGAACCCAGCTGGCCCAGGCCAGTGGTGCGTTACAGCCACCCGCCCACCTCGACAAACAAAGTCAAATCAGGTTTATTTAGAAAAAAGCTTCTTACACAACGATGTCCATGTGAATGGAGAAAAACCTGAAAGAGATCCTGAAAATACAGGGCTGATAACCAACCAGTCACATATTTGTTGCAGCTGATTTGTTCAGGTGAAAAAGACACTAAAACTCAGGTGGGTAAAATGATGAGCTGTGTTGTGTTTGTGCACAGGTAGTTTGTAACACAACCTTCTTAGAAGATGCTCTGAATGTCCACAAATGAACAGAGAACACAACCTTCTTAGAAGTTGCTCTGAATGTCCACAAATGAACAGAGCAGGCCAAAAAGAGACATTCAGACCCAGTCAGCTCTCCACACCTGGCCAGTCGAGGCACGAAGCGGGCTTCCCTTTATGTAGCTGACCTGCTGTCTGAAAGGTGCGAGGTGAGGGGGTTCCTAAAACTACAGTATGTGCCCATCCAACAAGCATTTGTGATGGTGTACACTGGGCCCTATCCAGTCACACTTGTAAGTGGCACAGCAAACTTCTTTCCTTGTAAAAAACCTAACTGATAATATGCTACCCAGCGGATAACAACAGCCTGCCAAGCTAACTGCTACTGAACAGGCTGGTTATTACTCATACAGTTAGTTCACACAGTCTAACACACCAGTTTGTACCATTGTCTCCCGTGTCGTGACTGAGTGCAGCCCATGGTGCCTGTGTTTTCATATACAGACAAGCGTGAACAAATAAAACCAAAACCATTTGCAGGGCTCAATACCAAGAAGAAAGTGAGAAAACATGGTGCATCTTAGAAGGTTTAACTAGCAGTTAAAGGTTAAATGTCATTTTCACATGCAGGGTAAAAGTCTGTAGGTGCATTGGAGTCACAGCAGCTGGAGGAAACGTGCATGGTGAAGCAGCCAGAGGAGGATGTGGAGAGGGAGGAAGAGGAGTGGGTACGGACATACAGCAGATAATTACTGGTTTTGTCAGACAACATCTGTTATGTCAACATTCCAGACGTCAGCCTCGAGCAGCTAAAAACTGCCTGCAGAGTCGTTCAGACAGACAAACAGAAACACGGCCAAACGCAGGGAGACAAAACCCTGAGCTCAGATTGGACAGTGTGGAGTTCACCCTCTTGTCTGTGTGAGGCTGAGCTCTCGGCCTAAGTTCACGTCCCCCTCTATCCTGCTGCTGTGTCCTTGACAGAAGCCTTTGACCTTCCTGGACATTTCCCTGCTTTTTAGCTAGCTTGAACACTTGTACATGGATTAAGTTAGTTACTAAAACATTCTAATACACATTTACAGGTTCACTGGCATTTGCCTGTAGGCACTTTGTCATTTGCCCTGACAATTCAACTTGTACTTCTGCAGATAACCAGTCTTATATGTGTAAACACGAACCATGCAGCTTTCCACAAGAATTACAGAACCAGCAGCCTCTAATCCAGCAAACTAAAAACTGGTGTTGTGGGGAAAAAAAAAACATTTCCAAAAATACATTTTCAGGACCTGTGAAGTCAGTGCCCTTTTGGAATCATTACATGGGGCTAAATGACAAACGTGCCAGTGTGTGTGCAAGTGAAACTCCCTTTCCAGCAGTGGAATCTGGGTGGGCGTCCTCTGACAATTTGTTACTACAGACATTCTCATTCTCTTTATGCTTGATTTATGGTTCTGTGTTGAACCCATGTTGTACCTAGAGCATAGGTAACCTGTAGCCTCACCCCCTACGCTGTAGCCTGACGCACACCTCTCCATAAATTTGGTGGTGGTGTAGTTGCAGTGCAACAGATATAGCTGGCACAAGTACAACTTATGTAGCCAACGGCTCTACCTAGATTCAATGCAAAACTATAAATCTAGCTTTATGCAGCAGCTGGCCAGGTGTGCACTGGTGTGAATGGGCAGGTTTAGAACTTCTCTCAGAGCTTCTCCCCCCATTTGTCATGTATACCACTGAGGGCAGAGACTATGTGCAAGTGTGCACCCTTCTCTTTTTAGATGTGGTCACAACCTAGTTCATTAGATGTATACTGTCACCTAAAGGGTCGCACACACATTGGTGGTGTCAAAAAGTGTGTCACCATGTCTTCAAATAAGAGAATACAAAATAAACGCCCTGTCCTTTTTCCTAACATCAGCACAGGCCAACAGTCAAAAAAGGATCAGATTAGCTCCCTTGACCTATTTCTGACTGTACACTGCCCATGTACATTATGAGCTACAGATGCCAAATGAAGCCACGCTACACGATGCTGCAGGTGTGAAGCCCTCAGGGGGACGAACTGGTCCAAGCAGGAGGGAGGAGGGCAGGGATAAAGGAAGTAGAGTACTGAACAACTGAAGAATGGCCTGACTTGGTCCTGTGTCGGAGGATCAACTGTTTTCTTTGCTACAGTAGCGCAGCATCTCCCAAATATGTCTGAGGAAAACAGTCCAGAAGCTTTTGTGAAGTACACCGACTGCCTTCGACTGAAATGTTTATTCCATCCAATAAAACAAGGTTGGAGGACTCGGTAGCAGACTTGTTTAGACAGATTCTTTCCTGTTTGACTGACTGAGTGTCTGTCTGACTGACTGCCACATACCACAGTACAGTTCAAGAGTTCAGTTGATTCATGAACTCTGTGGGGGCACCACACCCAGCCAACAGCACATTAAAGCCCTGTGAGTGTGTGTGTGTGTGTCTCTAGGAGAGTGTGTTAAAGCTCCTGCACACACACGGTCCACGCACACAGGTGTTTTCACTTATTCTGCCTGATCGGACGTCTATGTGGGCACGGACGGACTGAGACTAATAAACTACAACCACTGGTTTTCCTACAACAAAACAAACAAGCAACAGCTATGCATCATTACATATCAATCCCATGTCAAGTGTATTTCATTGTATGTCATTATCTTTGTAACTGTGGGCCTTCTCATCCATCGTCGGAATAAACCACATAGTTACTTTGAGGTCTATAAGTAAAGCAAATGTAGTGTTCATGAGAAATACACAGATTTGTATTCTCAGAATGAACAAAGGAGATTCTATCAATTGATCTCATGTCCACATTAAGTAACAGTGGCTCTGCACAAAGTTCAAACTGATGCTCACTGTGTTTATTGGTAAAAATTAGTTGTGTAACAAATTTCTTTGCTCACCTTCTCCCAGAACTTAACTCAGTCCAGCCGGTCTGTTTTAATAGCTCCCTTTCATCAGCTTTAACTTGTTGTGATTGGCCGTCCTAGTTCAGCAGCCTCTTTAAAGCCAATGTGAAAACAACACAGGACATGAACTGAAATCCACTCAACCAGTGAGGTTACTGGGCTTTAATGGAACATGTCTGCCCTTTGTTTTGTCTGGTGTTTTCTGATTAAATCTTTTGATTCAATACGAATGCAAATGGTAACGTGAAGCTCTGTAAAGCCAGTGGGTTACTGTGGACCAACAAGCACAGATCTATAGAGTTTCACATAATTAAACTGCTCCTATTATTACAGTCCATCTTAATATGTGACTGAATTATTAGTACAAATGTAAAACTAAATCATTCAAAACTAACCTTCAGTTTATTTATGGACCTGAATAAAAAAGATCTCACTATTCTAAAGATGGCAGCCAAAAGTCAGTTTAACTAAGTGAAGTCTCAAAAATAATCTCTGTATTAACAGTGCAATAAATTGGCTTAATGCATCAGTTATGCAGGAACCTTTACAAAATGGTTTTTAGTCAATATTCTTAAGCAGAGACTTTACAAACTGGAGAAAGAGGTGACAAACATCCTACGTTCGATCTGACAAGCTGTTATATCTTTATGTGATTTAGTAAATGCATCTTTCAGATGAGCCATTTTTATTATTATATCAGTTTAGAACCACCAGTTAAACTAATGTGCATAGGTGGCTGTGACATGGGAGGTACAGTGGGTCATCTCCTAACTGGAGGCAGTTGGCAGTTCGATTCCCAGCTCCTTCAGTCTGGATACTGTAGTATCCTTGAGCTAGACAATGAACCCCGGGCTGCTGCCTGTGTGAACGGAGCTTACACAACTGAGTCAGACTGACTTTTTTTATACAGAGTCCATCTGTCCCTGCTGCAAAAGCAGAGCAGGCCGTCTGTCTGTCTTAGCGTCAACGTTGCAGCCGAGTGCAGTGACCTGGGGTCACACTGTTCCCATTAGAGTAAATATTCCTCTATTAGCAACAAGTGGTAGGGAAGCTTGGAATCTCTCAAAGCTGCTGGAAGCTTTCAGAGAGAGGGAGGCGAGAGTGAGCGGCATTGTAAGGCAGAGGCTCTGTTTTTTTTTTTTGGGGGGGGGGGGGGGTGGTGGATAACAGAGGAGCTAACTACAGCTACATATACGTAGCTTTTGCTACACTGAAAGGCTTTGGTTTGACTTCAGTTTCAGATTCTGGCAGTAATCGTATCCACTTCCTGTTTGCTGTGCCTGTACCGTATTGTTTTCTACCGGTGTTGTTTTTGTAAAGATTGGTCAGTCAGTTCATTCTATAAACTTGGATGGTAGGGTGTAATTATGTAACTAGGGCAGGGTGTGATTATGAAAGTAGGATGGAGATTAAAAGATTTTTATTGAGAAACAATATTTTTCACATTACCAAGCATCTGGTCCTACCAAGCAGTACAGACTGGTTTGAACCAGTCACATGATTCACTTAGGGTAATGAAGCAGTTTCTGCTTCAGAGGTCATCGGTCATGTGTTTAGCCATCTTTGAAGCCAGCAGCTTAGTTGAGAGCAATGGCTTCTGCTTGTTCCTCCTCTTTTCTCTTGCTCAGTGTCGCATGTTCAGCTATTCCTCTGTCTCCTTTAGCGATAATGGTACTGACATTTA